TGGCAAGACACAACAGCCGAGCGAGGGTACAACACTTACCTCGTGCAGCAGTCGAGTGTGCTCGAGAGCTCCCGTTCAAACGATGGACACCTCCAAAGCGGCGGTGTTCGCCCGACATTTGCAGAACGACCAACCATCGCCGACCGAGGAACTATCGCAGCAGCGCGACCAGACATTCGAATTGGCAAGATAGATACTGGTGACCGACCAGCAAAGACGCTCGGTCGGAAGCGAGTGTGGCCTGGCTGGCTCTTCTTGTTCGTCATGTTCGCCGGGTCTATCTTTGGCATCACGTGGTTCTCCATCAAGCTGTACAAATCCGCCCAAAAGCAGCAAGAAAAGTCCGAGTTCATCCTGAACCGCACGCCGCCCCCCATCACTCCCCCCAAGAGTACGTAACGTCGTTGGTGGTGTGATGCTGACCGTGCTGTAGTCTGTGAACAGCCCGACTTTGTGAACGAGAAAGGCGTGATTTACGCCAAGTACAAGAGCGCGCCGTCCCAGAAGATTATCATCACGGGCATCAACTGGAGCGGCATGGAGAACCCGGAAGGCGTGCCGCATGGCCTTGCCTTTGGTCAAGCCTCCTTGGTACGTCTCTCGTCGTCGTTGGGAGCAACCTGACCCGTCGACGTCGCTAGAACGATATCGTGGACCGCATGGCCAAGCAAGGCATGACGGCCGTCCGTTTGCCGCTGAACGTGCTCATGATCAACTCGAACGCAGCGCCAAACATCAAGGATTTTGTGGACCCGATCTTGAACCAGGAGCTCGTCGTGTCAGACTATATGTCCATGATCAAGAAGATCGTGCAGGGCCTGGCGAAGAAGGGGGTGTCCGTGCTGCTCGACATCCACAAGCTGGACCCGGCCGTGGAGGGCAAGAAGGAAGGTTTGTGGTACAGCGCAGCGATTCCAGTCACTGCGATCGAGAAAGCGATCAAGACGCTCGCGACTGAGCTGTGCAACTCCAACTATTACAACATCCTGGGCGTCGATCTCAAGAACGAACCGCACGAGGGGTGTTGGCCAGGCGGGGCCGTCGATGCGAGCTGTCCGGACTCCAGGAACTGGCCGAAAGCCGCCGCGAAACTCGCCGACGCGATGCTGGCCGTGTGCCCCAAGTGGATGGCGTTCGTGGAAGGGCTGGCGTCGGGGACGATGGCCAACACGGGGTTTATCACCAAGGCGAGCGCCAACACGACGCTGTACTACCAGGAATGGTGGGGCGCCGCCCTCCAGAACGTGACCAAGTACCCCGTGCCGGTCGCCCCCGCCAACAAGAACAAGCTCGTGTACGTGCCGCACTTTTACTCGCCTAGCGTGTACCCAGCGCCGTACTACTTTGCGTCGTTTGCGAGCGCTGGCGCCGGCGCGACGACAGAGGAATGGCCCAACACGCCCGAGGGCAATGCGAACCTCAAGGCGAACGTGTACCGGGCGTTGGATCTCGCGTTTGGAAACGCCATGAAGACGGTCGAGTCGCCCGTCATGTTTGGCGAGTTTGGCGGGATTTACGGCGCCAAGGACATGTTCCCTCTCAAGACGTCGTCGCGCGCGATCGAGCTGTTTGTCCAGTACTCGGCGGACCGCGCCATGTCTGGCGGGTTTGCGTGGAGCTTGAATCCGGACAGCGAGTACCAGTTTAATGGCGACACGACCAAGCCCGGCGTGTTCAACTACGGGCTGTACGAGGCGAGCGAGGTGCAGCCGTGGAAATCGTACAACCAAGACTACTCGGACGCATTGCTCAAGTTCAAAGGCACGGGGACCATTGAATGTGTCAAGATCGACGCCCCCGGTTCCGCCAACGACACGGTCGCGACGGCCGAGCCCGTCGTCGTCGCAGCATCCACCACTGTAGCTCCTCCCACAACGACAACCGCCAAGAAGCCGTGATGACCATAGCATGCATAGCCTTGGAATCGTGCATGTTTTATTCGTATCGGAAACTATGTTTTCGTGCAAAACCGACCGGGCTCGGCGGCAACGCCGGTCGTTCCCGCTGCATCTACACGGCTGCCCATGTGTCGACCTCAACGGACGGCACCGCTGTGTCCCGCACTCGTCATGAGATGCGCCGTAGCAGAACCGACGACCGCCTCTTGTCGTCTGGTGGGGACATAATGCATATCGAGTGCCCGATCCACTCGAGCTCGATCGCTCGGTTGTGTCGTCGGGTCGACAACAGTGCCTCGTCGCTCACGTGGCGAAATCCGCCACCTCCTGACCCACACAGCGAGACGATGCAGAATGGTTTATATCAAACGTTGCCAGGTCGGGCTGCGCCAAGGGGAGCGTGTGGCACCTGGATGTTGTGTCGATGGAGTCTCGCGCAGAGTACCATGGCGCGTAGCGGCGCGCGCTTCCCCGCGAGGAACGTCGGCCAGCAGTACGCGTACCCACCGGTCGTGGTGTCGTGCAGTTGCACTCCCCACCCAAACCAGCACCCACCACAAGGCGCCGACAGATTGAAAAGTCTACTGGTAACGAGAAAGCGACTGGGATGGGCGACGCAAGGACGATCAGCGTCCTGGACGCCGCGGAGCGACCGCTCACGACGGACAAGGTCGCGCGCACGATCTTTTGCGTGCTCGTGTTTGTGATTGCGCTGGAAACGTACCTCCACAAACTGCAGCACAAGCTGCGCCACAACAAAAAGTACCTGGAGCTGTTCAACAAGATCACGACAGGTATGTGCGCATCCATCGTCGACGTCGTCGTCGGCCCCATGCGCCACCTCCTCACATGTCGATCCCTGTAGAGTTTATGGTGGTCGGTCTCATCTACCTCTTGGTGAAGGTCGTCATGTACTTGGGGTGGATTCCGTACGGCGGCCTCGAGTACCAAGCGCTGGACGCGGCCGACCTCCTACTCTTCTTCGTCACGATCGCGCTGTTCGTACAGTCCCTAACCATCATCCTGTCGCTGCGATTGTCGAACCGTGCCATGGACGTGCTCGAACTCGTCACGACCAACGAGATCGCGGAACGGATGCAAGCAGCCATGGCGACATGGACGTGGCCACTCAAGCAGTTTCACCACCGCAAGCGCGTCCAGATGCGGCTCGTCAGCACATTCTTTCGACGGACGTACGGCCTCCCGCGGCTCTTTTGCTTCGCCAAGTACATGCGCGTCCTCCAGGAACACCAGATCGTCGAGCTGCTCGAAATCGACTTTACGACGTGGCTTTTGCTCCTGTCCATCTTTTGTGGGTTCTTCTTTTGCACGGGCGAAATGCAGTCGGTGTTTTCCGTCGACGGCAACTCGCACTACTACGCGATCAAGACACTCGACTCAAACTTGCCGCCTGCCCAGTCCGCGGCGATCGCCGCGCTGCAGCAAAATCGCGTCGGCGTACTCGCCACCCTCGTCGCAGGGCTCTTTGTCTTCATGGTCGCGTTCCTCATCTACATTGAGTACATTCTGTCCGTGCTATCGCGTCGCGGCAAAATCGACCTGGCCGACGAGTTTGCGCCGGCCGGCGCGAGCGCGCTCTCCGACATGGATGTTCTCGGCTACATTGCCCGCTATGTACGTTCGCTGCTCACCCTGACGGTCCTTTTGAACGACGGTGTAGGAGGTAGTGGAAGCCAAGAAGTCGTGGCGGGAAGCGGTCGCGGACATGCAGCGCGTGGGCGACGAAGTTGAAGACAATCAAGTACACCATCAATACGGCAATCTGTTGCTACAATTGATTGCGTCGGGGTGGCGGCGGTGTGTGGGCAAGCGCCATGCCAAGCCGAATGCGATCCGCGCCAAGATCGACGACATCCACTTGCCGCTCTTTTCGCGCAAAGCGTGCGAGTTCCTGATCCAGTTTCTCCTCATTCTAAACGGCATGTATTCGGCCATGATCGTCGCGAGCGTGGTGCCGACGATGCAAAAGAGGGAGCTGCCCGTCGTTGTCGCCACTGCGACGCTGCTCGTGATCAACATGGTCGCGCTTGCGCCGCGCCTCATCCGCATCTTTTCGTTTGTGAACGGCATCTACCGCATCGAAGCGCACGTTCTCGGGAACGTGATCTCGCATTTCGTTGACGTCGAGCATCAAAAGACCGCGATGGTCGGGGCAGTGACCGAGTACTGCCGCAAGACGCACCAGGCCGTGCATGCCATCCGCCACGCCGTTGCATCCACCGACGCGCACGACGGGTTTGTCGATACCGAGACGTTGCGCCGCGCCCTCGCCAAGTTTGGGCATCGCATGACCCGCCACAACTTTCACGCGTTTCTCCGCATGATGGAATTCCGCACCAAGGACGCCACGGTCTGCCTCGACGATTTCCTCGCGCTCTTTCCAAACGTGCCGGCGGCCACGGCGACGCTCTCGACGGTTGTGTCCGAAGTGTAGGAAGTTGAGGCGTCGCGGTGTTTTATAGTTTTGGAATAACAACGTGAACGTCCACGAGCCTCGACTGAGATAAGAATCGTAGTCGACGGCATGTGATGCCATGGCCATGCCCGCCACGGAATCGGACGACGGAGGGCTCTCGGCACCACCCGCCGCCAACCTGGTCCCACATGGACGAAGGAGGCTGCGTTGCGATTGCTGGTATGAATGGACTGCCAAGACGACTGCCTTGCCGTCGGCTCCCTCTAGGTGAGAATAGATGCGAATGTGCCATCCTCTTCGTGTGGTGGCTCGTCGAGGCACCGTGCACGCATCTGTTCAGTGTTGTTGAATTGGCTAGAAAGGCAGTCATGTTATTACGAGAGACAAACGGCACTTAAATAGGGCGACGCATCACGGCGCCGACTGGTCGCTATGGTAGCTGGACGGCTTTCTTCAAGAGATCGATGCCCCGGACGAGGTCGGTCGAGCACTTGGTCAAGTCGATTGTCGATGACACAAACTCGATCGCGCTTTGGGGAGTCGTCGACGTGCTGTTGGCAAGCAGTGTCCGCAGCTGCTTGCGAGCGATGGCGTCCGTCGAGTTGAGTTCTTGGACCACGGACGAGAGGAGGCGGAGAAGCGCGACCGGCGTCTGGCCCTGGAGGACGAGTTGGTTGAGTGGGTTGAACATGGTGTAATGAACCAGCGTGTCCGTTTGATTCTGGAGCCGTCGGCGGAGCTGGCCGTCCTGCTCCTTGTACTCGGCCTGGAGCTTGGCCTGCACGATCTGCGCCATCGACGCAAACACTACATCCACCAGACACTCGTATAGCTTGGGTTGCCAGTCCTTTGGATCTTCCCACCCCGTCACTTCGACACACTCGCCACCGCTCGTGTCGACCACCGTTCGAAAGATCGCATCCAGCCCTTGCGTCACTTGCAAGCACATGGCCGCTGACGACGCTGTAAACACACATGTCCTGACGTCGCGATGCAAAGTCGCGGCGAGCCGCGCCGGGGTCGACTTGTCGTCGGCGAAGAGCGCTTCCACGAGCATCCTGAGTCGGTCTTCCGGCTTGGCCACGCAATGCCACAATACACAACTCGCACGGAACGACAGCACTCGGCCGCTCTCAGTCGTCATCGAAACGCGCCGCATGGCGCCGGTGGCCGTTGCAGCATTGCCTCCGGTTCCGTCGGAGACGCTGCTACCGCTCGGATTACTGGAAAACAATACGGCCGCCGACGACCGCAAGCTCTGTGTCTCGCTGTGCTGGAGCTGCAGCGACCGCATGTGCAGCAGCTTGGGCGTGACAAACTGCAATTGCTTTGGAAGGGTGCCGAGGAGGTGCTGGACGTCGCTTTGCCCGATGAGCGGGTATTGCGTCGTCATGGCGTTTTCGACGACGTGGAGCGTGTTGTACTGCCGCTCAAGGCGTTCCATGTCGAGGTGGCCTTCGCTTGGCGGTTCACTTCCACTGCTTTCGCTCGCCGTGGCGTTGAACACCAGGTACGGCGACGACTTGAGCCGCTCGAGGGCAGCACCAACAATCCCGAGGAACGGAAGCGATGGACACGTCGCGGAAATGAGCGACTGCTTGCGGCGGAGCGTGTCGAACCCGCCAGTGTAGTCACACAGCGACCGGAGCTCGTACAGATGCGCCTTGGTTTTCGACTTGACGCGCTTCCACGTGAGCGGGAGGCGCGATTGCATGAGCGGCGTGTCGCCAAGACAGCCAATGCACGCCATGACAAGGTGAAAGTTGTTGACAAACTTGGCACTGGACGCCATCGCGACGGCCGTGACTGCATCGATCGCGTCCGCGCGGTCGGTCGGCGAGTCCTCGACCAGAATCGACCACACCAAGTACGCTGTGAGTCGATTGAAGCTATCGCTGATATCTTTTTGGAAATGACCGGGCGACAGAAAGCTCCACAACGGCAACGCCGTCAGTTGGCCGTGGTGGAACAGGGTGCACTGCTGTGCAAACATGAGCGGCGTCAGTTTGTACGTGGCCATGACAGTGCGAAGCGGTGGCACGGTCGCAAAGGAATTGGTCACGGTGGACGGCTGCAACTGCGCGAGCGAAATGCCCGACATGACGATGCTGGGAAACGAGTTGCGCTTCTTCACTTCCGTCGACCAGTCCGACGACAACGACATAGACGACGACGATGTCTGCGGCACGCTGTGCTTGCGCACAAGCAATGGAATTGTCTGGGACGTGATGGCCGTCGATGACGACGATGACTTGAACGTGGATGGGAGGTCGTCGTCCGTGTTGCTGAAGCGTCGCAGTCGGCAATGCGGGAACCGTGAATCGATCACGGCCAGACACGCCGCTTCGCACGATCGAAGCCGCTGGCTGTACAAAGGGTGGAAGAGCAGGTCACGAACAAAGCTCGACACGTTCGTTTTATGTGTCAGGCTTGGCTTGCGATGGGCCGCCGGCGCACAGCTCGAAGTTGGCACCCTCGTTCCTTGCCGATCAGAGAGCAGCATGAGGAGCGCTGGCAGCGTCATGCCCAAACCAAGCTCAACGATGACGTCCCAATGTAGCAGGACGATGCGACCGCCATTCTCAGTTCGCTCAATGTAGGTCGCCAGCGCCACAAGATGTTTGGACGACGACGAGCATGTTTGGGGCGTCGAGGAGGACGGAATGGGCACCGGAGACGTGGCCGCGGCGTCCAAGGATTGAGTGGTGGGCAACAACACTCGGTTGATTTCGTCGCGTGTGAGTTGTCCCACGTCGAAGATGATGGATGACCGGACGTTTTGAAACGCGGCGAGCGTGCCTTCGGTCGTGCTGTCGTCCGACCCGCCAGAGGTTTCAAAATCCGAGTCCGTGTCAGAGTCGTCGTCGGCGCTCTGAGACGTAGAGGACATCACAGTGGGGGCGTTGGCTTGGGCGGCGTAGAGTACGGCGAGCCACGCATCCCGCTCAGCGGGGGTGCGGCAGTCCAGAATGACCTCGTCGTCGTGATGGCATGTGATTGTAAGTGTCGTTTCATTTGCAGCAAACGCAATGTAGACATGCGGATCCCACAAGTTGATCTACAACGACAAGATGGCGAAACAGTGAAGACAGCGAAGGAGGGTCATGCGTTTGGTTGCAGCGCACGCACCTTGGTCTTGAGCGTGCCTCGGGTCCGCCGGTAGATCGCCACTTGGCCTTGGGTCACGACAACGTCCCTTTCGCGCCACTGCACGCGCGCACGGCTGTCAGAGAAGCGCCACACTCATCAAGGACGGACGGGACGCACCAGAAACGTGCCGTGTACACTCAGAATCCCCCGCTTCAGCTCCATCATGGCCGCCGTCGCCGCCGACGAATTATGGAACCGTTGAAAGATCAGCCAAGATCTCCCCTGCAATGCCATTGGTCGAGCCTGCCGTTGGTCAAACTTTTCGATTTGATTGGCAAGTATTTTTAGAAGGGTGCAAACTCGACCTCTCCCGCGACCTACCTCCAGCACGGCGCGCCAGAGTACGGAGCCGACATGGCGACTACTGCGTCAAGTAGGGGCCTGACTAGCGGGTGCATCCACGGCAAGGTCGCTCATGACATGTGTAGGTCGACAGCATGTCGATCAAGAGCACGAGTACCTGCGAACACAAGTGGACCCACTGCTGATGCCGCTGATTGAAGCGCTCTTGCTACATCAGCCCTCTTCCATCTACGAATTCATCGCCAAATTCCTCGATGGCGCAGCGCTTGGAAAAATGAAGCACGTTGGCGACGCCACGGCCAAGTCAGCCAAGGCACGCCGGCATCGAATGGTCGAGTTCATGTCGTCGTCAGTACTGCCTGTCATGGACGATCTCACCCAACGCATCTTGCAGGACAAACCAGCCAATGCCAAAGGTATTCCCTATAAGTGCTCTTGTAGCTATGGCCCAGTATCGCACGATGATTTCATTCCCCTTAGCCTTCCTCCGAAACATTGTACAGTCAAGGCTATTGACCAACGAGGGTGAGCCGTGTCTCGCGGCTTTCGATCTTGTCATGCCGCAGTTCCACGTGGGCGATCGAGTCGACTGTCGGTTCAAAGGTCGACCCAAGTACCTCCCTGGCGTCGTCGAAAACATCGATGAAGGTGGGCTGTGTACCATTCGTTACGACAATGGAAAGGTCGAAGAGCACATTCATCCGATCTTGCTCCGTCTACCACTGGAGCAACCCGAGGCAGAAGAAGCGATCGAGGCGTCTAAGACACCTCGCCGGGATATCAAACCTGTAATTTTGATGCTGGGGCTGGACGGGTCTGGCAAATCGACGTTTTTGTCGACGCTACAGGGCGGTAGGATATGTGCAATGCTGCTCTCGGCGAAGTAGACCATGCCTTACCTTGTTGGTCGTACAGACCTAGACAAGGAAATTCCCCCGACCGCAGGGTTTTCATCGGTCACGTTTCAGCTTGCCAATGGATCGGCCACGTTCTACGACTTGGGCGGCGGTCCGACGATTCGAGCGCTGTGGAAGGAGTACTTTGCTGACGTAAGTTGTAATTGCAAGTTTGCTGATACGCAGACTAGCCGACCGTAGGCGCATGGTGTGATCTACATGGTCGACGCGTCGGATGTGGGCCGGATACAAGAAGCTTCCCAGCACCTAGAGGACGCAATGGCCCATCCAATGCTCCACGGAAAGCCCGTGCTCATGTACTTGGACTCCGCGGTCGAGTTCAGATGGTTTTGAATGGGTGTTTGTGTGCGTAGCTTTGCCAACAAGATGGACCAAGCTACTGCATTGACCGAGTCAGACTTCTCCAAACACATGCACGTTGCGCCGTTGTTGGACAAGAAGGTGGTGCAAGTCACCGCCAAAGCCAAAGCGAACGGCAACTTGGTCGACGATCGACTCGAGGGCGGCCTTCGTTGGATCTTGAGTCGAGTTGAAGACAAGTACGATGCACTCGGGGAGCGAGTCACGGCCGACCGAGCCACGATGAAAAAGGAAGCGGCAGCGGCATGGCAAGCGCAAAAAGAACGTGTATGGGCGTACAAGGAGGAGCGGGAACGGTCCTCAATGCTGTTAGAAGACTCGTCCGCGAACCAAACCGCTTTCGCCCCGGCCAAACCACTCGTCAAACAACAATCGTCCGATGTGCCCATGTGCTCGTCGTGCGATGCCCAGCCTGCTGTGACCAAATGCGCCGCGTCTAAATGGATGCCCGTGTGTGGCGACTGCGCCGATCGTCTCAAGAAGAAATAGATTCCATTGCCATTCAAAGAGGGGATGGCGACGAGCAGTCGGAGGGTGTTGTGTTGAGCTCTCTGCTGTTGATGTAACTAGACTGGTTTCGCCATTCAACCGGCATCTATAGTTGGTCGCTCGTGGCGGTTCCTCGACTTCTATCTGCTTCTAAATTCCATGGAAGACCCTCAAGATCGTCAGGCATGTCCGTTTTGTGTGTGAAACATGCCGAAATTTGGAATTGCTCTATTGCGTTGAAAAAATAGGGTGGGTATGATCGACGCGGAATGCGAACGTTGCTGGGAGCGTTGTTCAATTACAGGTGGCCAAGCTTCTTGAGCTTCAGGTCAAGCGCTTCCAGCATGTCGACGACCATCGCATCCAAGTCGTACTGTTCCTTCCAGCCCCAATGCTCGCGCGCAAGCGAGTCATCCAGCGACCGCGGCCACGTGTCTGCGATCGCTTGGCGGAAGTCGGGTTCGTAAGTGATTTCAAACGACGGAATGACCTTGCGGATCGATTCAGCCAATTGCTCTGGTGTGAACGCTTGGGCCGTCACGTTGTACACTCGTTGCTTGAGCAACTCGGACGGCGCTTCGAGCAGCTCGTTGGTCGCGCGCAAGCAATCGGGCATGTACATCATAGGCAAGCACGTTTTGGGGCCGAGGAAACACTTGTAGCTGCCCTTCTTGAGCGCTTCGTAAAAGATTTCAACGGCATAGTCCGTGGTTCCTCCACCTGGCCACGCTTGCGACGAAATGATGCCAGGGTACCGAATGGATCGAAAATCCACGCCAAACTTGTCGTGGTAGTATTCACCCAACAGTTCCAAGTGGACCTTGGTGATCCCGTACATGGTCGTCGGGCGCATGATCGTGATGTCCGGCGTGTTGTCTTGCGGCGTCGAGGGACCGTAGACGGCCTACAGTGTCGTGGGTGTCTCTCAAAGAAGCAACAGCTCATCGACGTACAATGGTCGAGGGGGCAAAAACGCGGAGGTTGTTGAGCCGAGCGAGTTCCAACACGTTTTCTAGCCCGCGGGTGTTCACCTTGAGCGCGAGTTGGGGGTTCTTTTCACCAATAGCTGACAAGAGCGACGCATTGTGGATGATCGTGTCGATCCCGTTTTCCAAAACAATTCGCGCCAAGCTAAGGAAGCGATGACGACGCCTGCATCACGACGCATGGAAAACGGAATCCTACCCGTCGGCGTTCAGCACGTCGCAGTAGACAAACGGTCCCGACTTTTGCTCGGCCTTGCTGGCCATCTTGATGTCTGAGTTGATGACAGCATCGCGGCCATGCAAGTTACGTAAGTACGGCACCAATTCCATGCCGATCTGGCCCGTGCCCCCCGTGACGAGGATGCGGCGCCCTTGGTCAAACACGTTGAACCCGCCCGTGTAGTCGGACGCTTTGGCCTTGGGGGTGGTAGCCGTCGAGAATTGGCGCGCCGTGCGAGCGATCGCGTTGCGAAGGAAGACCATGATGGTTGGCGTGTGGGTTCGGCCAAGGAAATCCGCAAGTGCTGACCAAGTGACGAGCCTTGACGTAGATGGATGGATAAACACGCCCGTTACGGTCGCTCGAACATGATTAGCAAAATGTCAAAAACGCGATTGTCTGTCAAGTCAGGGACTCTATTTAATTCCAACTTTTCTTGAAGCTTCCATATTGTATGATGACGTTCATAATACTATTCCATGGGCCACGAAGTCAACAAGGTTTAGTGACCTCCGTCACATCTCACCTCGCGGTGACCCCACTTTCGAAAAATAAACCAGGTTTGTACATTTATCAATATCGAGAGCGAGGAGGGATACAAACATTCATATAGTTTTTTAAATTATATAAACGCGCACGTAGGCGGTGAAAGACGTCGACGACGGCGGAGCCTGACGTCGGTCGAATTCAAGATGCAACGATTGCTGCAGAAGCGCTTCCTCTCGACGCCCACTGTACGCCCCCTATGGATGCTTCGCTACACGTATGTGGACGGGATGCTCGAGAAGCGAGATCCGTTCCGTGGCGACCATCTGCGCCACGTTGAGATCCATTCTGCCGGCTCCCACACCCCAAAAGTCCTCCTCGCCGGAGCATTTGCCAACCCTGTCGACGGCGCTGCGTTCGTCTTCGACGCGAAGGACGCCGGTCAAGTTGAAGCGTTTGCCAAAAAGGACCCATATGTGATCAACAACCTCGTGACCAAGTTTGACGTCCGTCCATACAACGTTGTGTCGTTTGAGAAATAAATCCAACCTTCTTGCGGGTTGCCTTCCCCTTTGACGGTCACTACTACTACGTAGTTGTACATCTTCCTACCGGCCACCCCAAACCTCCAACATCTTGACGACACGTCATGGCGGACATAGACGCTGGGGATGCGCTCGCGACATGTTCGACCACGTGGCTGGTCGACTCGCCAATCGCGATTCCAAATTTCCCCCGTCATCGGTCACATCCCTCTTGTCGTGAACGTGCGTCTGTTATAATTCTTTGTTATATTTAACAGGTAGTTAGCATGCAACAATTCACAAAAAGGTTCCAGAAGATTTTTTCCCAATTGCTTGGATTGCATAATTCATTTCAATTAATTGCAAGAAAATGGCTGTAAAGTCCACAGAACATGTTACAAAATACTCTCATCTGTACTGCACAAACACTACATATGTATGGACGCACTTATATTGAACCAAACACCCCCTCCTCACTTACGTTTTGAAACTCATCAGGTTTACCGCGCCCTGGTGCCGCAATCGACTTAGGATCTTGTTGTCTTTTGGGGCATCTCGAGCATCTTCCTCGTCGCCCAGAACGCGTTGCGGCGCTTGCTTCTCAACCTCGTGTTCTTCAAGTACATCGTGAGCATCTTCAAACGTGCCAAAACTTGTGATGAACAACGACCGTCGACTGTACGACTGAGAACGCTCAAAGCTCTTGCGCCTGGATAGCTCTCGCTTATGCTGGAATGACGCTCCAAGCGATGGCCGGGGCTCGCTAGCCGCGGTGGCAGCAGCCTGCAGGTCCTCCTGGATTTGGTTGTCCCCCATCGCCTCGGCCACTGACATCAACACATCCTTTGACACATCTGCGCCGAAGGAATGCACAACAAACTGCGCGTACTGCGCCGGTGACGTGCGATACGCACGAAGTTCTTTGGTCATGTGTCGGAACTCTTCCACGCGCGCTTCATCCCCGTCGACGAGGTCACGCACCTTGGCGAGAACCTGCTTGGCGTTGAGACTTTGAGGACGGCACCTCGATGGAGTTCGTGTGCCGCGGGAAGAAGGGATGGCAGCTTCACTTGCAGGGCGCACCCGACCCGACAGACGCTGTAGCGGAGCTTCGCCTTCAACGTGACCCCCTACAGCTGGAATAGAAGTTGTCCCAGTCCACGTTGTATGTGTCGGAGGCAGCATGGCTAGCTCGGGCAAAGTTTGGGGCTGCGCTCGTACTGCAAACTGCGTCATAGCCTTCATCAGCGCATGTCGCTTTTGTTTGTCTGGGAGCAGCGCTGCCAAGCTCGGCACGAGCCACTGGCAAAACTCGATTCCAAATTGGTCCACCATGAACGTATAAAAGTCGACGCCACTCGACGGCGTATCCTCGACAGCTGCCTTGCCAAATCGCCTCGCGCGCTTCTGGAACGCTTTGACAGAGTCAGCACCAGCATGATCGGTGATACGTTGGAAGATGAGTTCCTGGAGTTCCTCTTGCTGGGCTTCAGTCAGATGCAATTCGTCGTCCGACGACGACGCCGACGATTCGTCGGAAGTTCGCGGAGTCCCAACTTCCATTCGTGGCGGGTCGTCCACGGGAGTGACCAACAAAGATGGAAGCGCCGCATTCGATAATGACGCATGGCGACGAGTGACGAGCGATGACGATGGATCTCCTAAGACTGGTCGGTCGAACGACACATGCGCATGCACAAGGACAAACTCGGCGAGCGAGGTCGACCCTTCAGGAGTTTGGAAATGCGTAACCCCAGGGATCCCCGTGATCCGCGCAAAATATTCTTGTAGATCGCGCTGCCGGGTGGCGAGAAAGGCAGGTTTCATCGACTGCCCAAAGAATGTCTTCGTCTTGTACAGAGGTACGAAAGGGATCAAGGTCATGCACGCAGATAACGGACCCGTGCGCATGCGTGCGTCAAAGACCTGGCATTCTTCAAACGACTTGTACACGACCCACTCGATTTGTTCCAACACCGTCGTGCTGCGCGTCGTTGCGCAGTGTGCCACACAACCGAGTTGGAACTCCTAGGTCATCAAGGTGAATTGCCACAAATCACCATCCACATTGCCGCTGCATACGTACCGGTGTTTTTCCAATGAAGCGAAAGCTGTTGACGCCGATGTCCAGCCGCAAGATCATTTCGACCTGCGGCACCCGCGTCATCCTTCTTCGATTCTGCGAGTGTCATGGGCTGCTGAATCCATTGCTCTGATTGGCACGTCGTCTTCAACAGATTTTAAATGCAATGAATCGATTAAGTACGGTGCACTCAATGTGTCCAAGTAGGCCCAGACGTGTGTGCTTGGCTCGCACGAATCCAGTCATGTTGTATGGCAAATGTTGCGAGGTGAAGAATGTCGCTGACCATGCTAGGTCGATTGAGTGGGGCCTTCATGCTCCGTGTGGGCCGCGGTCGCCTTCTCGCACTTGAATGAAACAATACACAGGCTCGACACTTAGTGTGTTACATTGCGATCCGGATAAGCAGTTGCGACGGGACATCCGGATAAAGATGGTTGTATCCGGATACTGCAACTTGTGCGGTTGCGACCACGAAGAAGCGCCATGTCCGACCTCCCCGCCCAATTCGCATGTCCCCTCTTGAACGAGACGCGCCACTTGGTGGACTGCCTGGGCTACATCGACACAAACTACGCGTTGGGTGACACGGCGATGCAGAAGCTTGTCAAACTCCAGATTGAACAACAACTCGCGCAGATGCCGCCGTGCGACGACGACCACTATTTGGCGTATTTACCGTGCATGGATCTGAAACTCGATTCGCTCGAGATGAAGCGAGTTGCAGCCAAGGTGAAGCTGACTTCGATCGACACAAACAAGTACCGTGTGGTTCCTCCAGCGCCGTCGCAGTTGAAGCAGCAGAGTCAAACGGAACAACTTGAGGCGTGGCAGAAGGCGACCAATAACGCCAAGATCGCAATCGAGCACCAGCAAACCAGGATCTTGAACCTGGAGATGCAAAATAAATATGGCGCGAACAGGTGGAAACTTCAGGTGGGGGTACTCCACGGCATCAACGAACGCTGCAAAGATGAACTGGACGATCTGCGGAAGCAGACGGATCAAGTCAATATGGAGCGGAAGGAAGAGCAGTTGCTCAATGCTGACAAACTTCAAGGCCTCGAGCGTAGGCGCAACGACTTGACGCTGAAAACGCAATGGATTCAGGTGCGTCTATCTTCCATCGCAGTCAACCTCTCAATCGTCCATCTGTAGCAAGCGTGCAGTTCCCTTGAGCGAAATCTTAAGCGGCTGAAGCCGAATCCAGTCGAATAGGTTCATGCGGCGTGCACCCGATCCGCTGGGCTCTTTTCTGAAGAACCCGTCAAACTTCGAGAAATTGCTCGAGAAAGCGTCCGTCGTGTAATAACAACAATTAAATTGAATTGAAATTGCTTGAGAAATTGCTTGCGGCCTTTGCAGAAACCTCTCAAAATCAATAAACCTCTGAGAATTGATCCATCGATCTTCGTCCCCAAAGTCGGGCATCCGAGTCTGGGCAAGATGAGCGACAAGCCTGCGGTCGTGATTGACAATGGGACGGGGTAAGGAAGCATGCATGAGTCGAAGGAAGAATTGTTTGTCGCGACGGGATCTCTAACATCAATGTATATGCGTGTAGGTTTACCAAGATGGGGTACGCTGGCAACGCCGAACCGAGCTACATCATTCCGTCGACAATTGCAGTCGGTGCGGACAACTCTACAAGCGGGGGTCGCACTGGTGGTACCCGCGTCGGGCAAAGTCAAGGCATTGATGACTTGGACTTCCACATTGGGCAGGCTGCTTTCGAGAACTCGTCGACGCACCAACTGAACTACCCCATCAAACAAGGTATCATCGACAACTGGGACAATATGGAAAAGTTGTGGCAGCGCTGCTTGTTTCAGCATCTACGATGTGAACCCGAGGACCACTACATGCTCCTGGTATGTTTTTTCACGAAATCATGCTGTCGGCTCACGCTCCCCTTTCACAGACAGAACCCCCGCTGAACCCTCCCGAGAACCGCGAAGCCACGGCGGAAATCATGTTTGAAACGTTCAACGTCCCGGGGTTGTACATTGCCGTGCAAGCAGTCTTGGCACTGTACGCGTCGTGGCCGAAAGTCAAGGTATGCCTTTGTCAGTCGTGGAACGACGCACTCCTCATTTCCATGTAGGACCCATCGCAGCGATCGCTCACGGGCACCGTCATCGACTCGGGTGACGGTGTGACCCACGTGATCCCCGTCGCGGACGGCTACGTGATCGGCAGTTGCATCAGCCACGTCCCACTGGCCGGACGCGATATCACGTCATTCATCCAGCGCATGATGCGCGATCGTGGCGAAGTCGTGCCCCCAGAAGAGTCGCTCGAAGTTGCTCGAAAAGTGAAGGAATTGCACAGCTACGTGTGCCCAGATATTGTGAAGGAGTTTAAAAAGTACGATGCCAACCCGGCCAAGTACATCTTGCCTTACTCGGACGTCCACCCCCGCACCAAGCAACCGTGGCAAGTAGACATCGGGTCCGTCTTTCATCTTGATCGCGGCATTCGCAGCTCACGCGGGCGGTCGTAGGTATGAGCGATTTCTTGCTCCCGAGATCTTCTTCAACCCGGAGATCTTTTCCACCGACTTCACGACGCCGCTGCCGAACGTAGTGGACCAAGCAATTCTCAAGTGCCCCATCGACTGCCGCCGCGGGTTGTATAAGAACATTGTGCTCTCGGGGGGGTCGACCATGTTTAAGGATTTCGGTCGCCGTCTCCAGCGCGACGTGAAGCGACTCGTGGACGACCGGCAGCAGGCCAACTTGGCGCTGCACTCCAAGTACGCCAAGCAGCACGCAGAAGAGCTCGACGTCAATGTGATCAGCCACCGCATGCAGCGATTCGCCGTTTGGTTTGGCGGGAGCATGGTGGCGTCGACGCCGGAGTTCCATCGCGTGTGCCACACCAAGGCCCAGTACGACGAAGAAGGCCCCCGCATTGCCCGACACAACCCCGTCTTCTCGGCCACCATGTAGAGAGTGGAAGTTGCTGACATCAAACATCGTCGTCGGTGTGTTGAACGTAGATCGAGCTCAACGTCGTTTCTGCAGAATGCTACAGCGTCATGGCACGCGCCTCCACACATGGGGTGCAGACACTCTGTCGACGGAGGATGCGCCCGTGTTGACCAGTCAGCATCACAGCCATATACCACTAGTGGACTCAGCTGCAGCTGCCAGTGCCTTAATCCTTGTGGCAGCTGGACTGCAATGCGGTGGTGTGCAACTGGCCGTTCATGGCGCTCGTCGCTCGGCATTCACCGAGGTGTACGTCCATCGAGTCGCGGGGCGTTTTCCACATTGCTTGTTAAGAGAGGCAGCTGGGAGCGACCGCAAAATCGACTTGGGAGACAAAGGATGGGCAAAGTGGGAGGTCCCGCGATCGTCGACAGCGGCGGCCGCCATCGACAAAACTGTGCATTGAAATGGTTTTGGCAGTTGAGACAGTTACACCATCCATTCGCGGTGCTGAGGTCGATGGAAGCAATCGAGCAAAAGTTGTGGCTGCGGCGGTACAAGCGATTCGATCCGTTCTATGAGGCGCTGCTGCGGTCGCCGCCATCGACGCTCGCGATGGCGACAGGTAAACTCTCTATTGGTTCGCCGACGTTTTCGCTGGCGAAAGTATACGCGACTCGAGAACTTACTCGACCGATCACCCCGACGACTGTCGACATCCCTGGCACCATCGACGCTCTTCTTGGCCTGCAACAGCCAGATGGGCGGTGGAAACTAGACGCAGCCTTCCATCACGTCATGCATAACCTCGTGCCGCCCTGTCCCAGCGGCGTTGGGGCAGCGATGTGGGCGACAGCATGTGCAGTGACTACCCTACGAAGACAGCCCGACGCATTCGACAAACTCGAGCGTCCATGTGAGCGAGGACTCGCCCAAGTGGAAAATCAAGTTTTCGAGTGGGCAAAGCACGAGCTTCCGTCCATTCCTCTCGACGCCAACCTTGAGGCACGTCCAGTCGCCGGTCCCTCGCTTCAAGAAACAATGTTGCGAAATCAGCCACCAAGCACCAACGACGAAACCATCGACGACTTGTACAGAGCTGTGGCGGTCCAACCAGCCAAGAAACGCAGCGCCAAGTTTGAGCCCGACGCTGTAAGCGCCCGGATCGTCAGGCAACTGGATGCCGCCAGTGCCACCGCAGTGGCGTACGGCCTCAAGCGTGAATTCTCCCCCAAAGTGGGCACGTCTAACCGACACTATCAGGTGCCGTTGTGACATCCATGGCTCATTTCCATCCTGTTGGTCTCCAGGTCGGAGACTGGGTCGAGTGCTGTTGGCGGCGGCCATTGCACGCATCGTCCGCCGTCCAGGCAACGCGACAGGACGAGTGGAGTCGTGCAAGGGTGCGGCGACTCTTTTCGTTTACACTAGCGTTTGACTTGTGTCAATAGATTGCACATGTCTACACCGAGGAACAGAGCGCCGTCGACGTCGTGTTCCAAGACAACCGAAAGGAGCACCAAAGGCGGGTCCCACTCGACTGCATTCGCCGACCCAACTCGGTCAAACCGTCACGGTCCCAAGTCCTGCGCGATTTACAAGCACGATGGGTGCAAGAACCATTGCCGCTGAAAGATGAGCTCCAGCGGCTTGCCAAGGTCTGCTTCCATGTCGTTCTCACTACGATTCAATGCACGTCATGGAGTGCTCCAGATTGCTGGCCGCGACAACGTGCGGTCCCCGACGTGGTGTGAATTGTCTCGCCGATCCACGTCGCCGAAAAACTCGCAAACGTTCCGCTCTTGTCACACTCGGTCGTCGCTGACGCTGCCAACACTTGAGGAACCTCGAGCACTCGACACTCCCGGCCACTCCGCCCAGGACAGTCCGTCTACGGTCCCGATGTTGCCACCGTCCCATGCCGCTGCGATTGAAGCTATTCTCGCATATGAAAAGTGTCTTGCCAAGGTCCCCAGCGTCCTTCAACCGTGCTGCCACCTTTACAAGTACACTTCGCGACCTTCTTCATGCACGGACATACCAAACGGGCATGTAGAACGGCGCGCTTGTTTGGAGACCGCTTGCACGCCTTTGATGCATGGATGCCCGTGGCCCTTGAGCTCGTGGAAGCCACCGCGACGGCTGTGGACCTCGTGTACGCCCTTGAACGGAGTATTCAACATCCTTCGTCCCACGGCAACCAAACCCACTCCACGTACACGCCGTTTCTGTGGTTCGGTCGACCGTTTTTAACTTCGGTGCGACGACACATCTCGTGCTCACTGCAGAGCGACCAACTGGCTGTGTGTAGGTGGCGCACGGGTTGGAGATGCTGGCGGCGTCGGCAGAATTGGTGCGTTGGGTGCCATCCCTTTGTCGTCGCTAAGAGAATGGCACTGCCACCGTGGTAGCAAGATTGGTACGGCACGGACTTTCATTTTGCAATGAATCCGTTTCTCGTGACGGTTCCTCTCCACCTCAAGACGAACGCCATTCAGTGCGCCGTCGTGCCGAATACGTGGTGGCCAGAGCAACACTTCTCGGACGCTCTACGACGCCGCGTGAACGCCGCTGAAACGGTCTTTGTACCTCAGCAACTCGTCTTGACGCTCATGGTGTGCTTGTAGATGTTATTGGAGCACTTGGGCCGGTGCAGCCACCGATGACGCGCCGACGCCATTCACGCCGCCGCCACGGACAGACATGCGGATGATCTGTTGAATGTCCTTTCGACCGAGCGGCACGTCGGTCAACGGCGAGTTCATGTAGTACCCTGCTTCGATGGCGGCTTTTGCCCGCGTTGAGTTCGTTGCGATCCACGTCGGTTTGCTTTGGAGCGCATGTGCTTCGTCCTACCACAGGGCCATGATGCATGGCATGAGGACGACAAATTGTGACACCCCAACAACACAAATCGCATCTCGATCATCTTCTCGCAAGCGACGTGCCCTGTCTCCTTGTGCCTACATTGCACGCACCACTTGAGCTTTCTGGGCGGCGGGCAGGACGCGGTCCTCCCGCGAGTGAAGACCGGTAGGGTAGTCGTAGTCGTGGGGGCGCGAGATTCGAGTCTTGGCTTCGCTGACGCTTCCAGCGTTAAACACCTTCAAGAGACTAGTGATATGGATGGTGCCAAACACACCATCTTGGGTGGATGTAAAGGTCACTTTCGCACCGGTCGCTTTCTTGGCGCGGCTCCAGCACGGGGATTGTCGTGCTGCGGCTGTTCGCCGTGTTGTCCGTCGCTCTTGCGGGCGTCGCGAGCTTTCGTATGTTTGCACAGCACGGCGCCGCGAAATTCGCTTAGCATCGACTTGGGACCCAACAGGGCTTGGAACTACGGCACCTTAAGTAAGACACTTACTTTCGATGCCCCTTTCATGCGCCTTGTCGCTGCTGCTATCCGCTGGGAAGAGGGGCGTCATCTATTCCGCCGTACCGAATCCGCGTCCCCGACTCGGCTTTGTATCCGCTCCATCCTGTTCAGCCTTGCTGGTCGCGCGCTGTCGGTGTTGTCGACGGCATCCTGGAGCAAAATGATATTGTCCCCCGACGACGTGACTTGGGACAGAGCTGGAAAGTGCCGGATCTTGGCGAAGTGCGCGGCGTGGGCGTCCTTATACACCCGTCGCTCGCGCTCTTCGATGCGCGTCCCGCTCGCCGCGTGGGACGACATGGAGCACACTCGCGACGAATTTGTTGCGACAAGCGAAAGCAGTCTCCTTCCCCGATATTTGATGCCCCAGTGGAGCTATCTTTGATCGCAATCTAGCCTCAAAACGCCCATATCGTGGCCGTTGCGAGCTATATCGAAGCAGACAGCAATGGCGGGGGGCCAAGATGGGGGTGATGGAGATATTTCAGATTTGCATGGCTATTTTTACCGTCGGTCGTATGTCGCCGCCACGGCATTTTTGAAGTCGCCGGTCCATCAACAACAATTACTATGGGAGCTGCCGGATCTGTCCAAGACGCTTCCTTCGACCCCAACAAGTTTGCCCAGTCGAAGGCCATCATGGACCTCGCCGTCGACGACGCTGAAAAATTTGCCAAGCTCAAGGAAGTCTGGAACTCCAATGGGGGCGGCACAAAAGAGCCGTCCCCTGAGCCCCAGCCAGCTGCAAACGAGGTCAAAGAAGCAACCCCGAAAGAATTGACGGCGCCCAAGGACACTCCAGCTTCCAGTGAATCGACAAAAGAGGCTCCCAAGGAAGCCCCGAAGGAAGCGTCGAATGAAGCACCCAAGGCTGCGGAGAAGGATGCTCCTAAAGATGAAAAGAAAGACGGTACAAAGGTCGAGTCCAAAGAAGCTGCGAAGGAAGCGCCGAAGGAAGAGAAAAAGGAAGCTCCCAAGGAAGGTCCAGTGGAAGCGCCGAAGGAAGCTCCAAAGGATACCCAGCCTGCGATGGGGGCCCCGGCAGAGGAAATCAAAGCTGCTGCCCCCAAGTAGTCGTCACGATAGCAATATAGATCTTCCTACCCTGCTCGATCGATTCCCTGGTTTTCGTGATGGGGGCAACGGTTTCATTGAAACGGTTTTCGTAACCATCAGTGTCGCAAAGCCACTGGGACATCACGGCATTCCAGTGATGGAGGAGACTCCACACTTGTCCTCCGGTCGCGGCAATTTGCTGGCACCGCTGAATCTGCCCCCTGCCGTGCCTAAGGTGAAAGCCCCGCAAGGGCGACTGGATGTCGAAGACGATCGGTTGGTGTATGTCTTGCCGAGAATGGTCGCGCCGTGGAAGTTTCGCGACGAGGCTATGTTGGAAGAAGTCATCTGTGCAGAGTACGAGCGAATGGCGGCGTTCATCGAAGCATATCAGGCGCGCGAAGAAGCCGCAGCGCGGATTATGCGCTCACCAGGTCGACAAAAGAGATATCCCCCCGGGAGCCCAACTTTTCGGCAGGTCATGCTGCCATCCCTCACTGACGCTTCGCCCCTCGACACCCAACATCACGTGCAACCTCGGGAGCGCGTGATGCCTCGATTCATCCGGGGAACTATCGAACAGAAACAAGCGTTCTGGGACGTCATCGATGCCTACCGCCGCCACCGCGCTGCGAAGGTCGCCGCAGACAGAGAGCGAGGGGTATGTCCATACGACTTCAATCAAGCCGCCGCGGGACGACCAGAGGTAGCTGCTGCATCCTACCCGTTTATTCCTTTGAATGGCCTGGGAATTGAGGCCGCAGGTTTGAGAGAATAAAGTGTGCTGACATATGCGACCATTGCAATAAATACATGACAGATGTCATCATTGTAGCTCCTGGAGCAGCGTCACGTCGAATGGGTCCGCCGGCGCGCGGTGCTGCACGACGTATGTGACGAGAACCGACGGCTACGCCAGGATGAAGCCGAGCTCCACATCCTCGAGTCGACGACAGCATTTCGGATCGAGAGACGCCATCGGGAGCAAGCACACGCCGCTCATCGTGAACAACTGCGACGGGTGCTTCCCATGGTGCTGGCGGTTGCGGCGGCGCAGTGGCTTCGACAAACCATGTGGCTCCAGTGGCAAAACCACCGCCGACATGTGTATGTTCGAAAGTGCGCGATGCGGTGGCGCCACCAAACGCAAGCCCACGTCGCGTGCTGTCGCCATGCCGCGCGGTTACGGCACTGGCTCCACGAAAGCGTTCGCCTCAAGACGATTGCACACCGAGTGTTTTACGCACTGCGCGTGTACCTCCGCCGCGTGACCCTCGTCCAGTCGCTATGGCGGCAAAAAATGGCCATCCGCCAAGTCCAACTCAAGCGGCTCGAGGTGCAGTGGAGGTCTTTTGTAAACACGCCAGACGTGAACTACGACCCCTCCAAGGTAGGAGCTCCATGTAGTCCCGTGCATGCGCAAATTGCGGGCACGGGGTGTCCTTTTCAGACTGCTTACTGGTGGTGCGATGCAGCGCCTGCGAAAGGGGCTGCCACTCAAGTTTCCATACCCCGAGATCGACCCTGCGATTCGCCACCAGGTGTTGTTGGAGGCGTGGCTCGAGTACGAAAGGCAGTGTCGCGCGCGCTTCCGAGCCCAAGAGGTAAGTTCATGGCGCTAGCATCTTACCAAACTGCTTGAGGCGCCCGTATCTGCGATCGTGTGTGATTGAAAGTTGCGAGTAGGCAGACCTGCTGCCCCACCTAATACAATCCCTGCAAGGCTTGCACCCCGACAAGTCGAGGGCCGAGGTTCGCGCGATCGCGGCCCGGCACTTCATCCTTGGTTCCGTCCTCTCGACGCTTCAGTTGATCCCGGGGGCACTCGCTCCCCCGATCCCCACCGCCCCTCCATCGCGTGGGGAAAATGCGTTTGCCATACTGCCGCTCTTGACGAAAGCTTACCAAGTACAACACCCCAACTGCGCTCATGCGCCGCCACCAACGGAACCTGCTGTACTTGCTGCGATTGCCGCGCCGAAAGACCACGACCCAAGGAAGAAAACGTTCGGAGTGGGACAGTCGAGTCGCAGTCGCACGAAGAAGTGAGCGCAACGTTAACAGAATCAAAGCCACCAATGTGCACATGAGGGTGCGAAGACAATCCTCGTAGAAATATGAATAGTAGGTGGGTTGTGGCTACGTGGAGCTGGAAGGGACAGCACCGAGCTGCTCGACGGTTTGGATGTCGCTCTCGCCTTCGTGGGACGTCGTGATTTCCTCCACGGCGCCGATCACGACGTTTTGGTAGCTCTCGAACGGGTCGACTTTCTCACTCAAGTATGCTTCCAGGATGTGCAGGAGGAAGAACCCGACGACGTTGGACCAGGCCGCACCCACGTCTGGCGACGCGTACTCGCCAAGCCAGTACATCATGACCTCGATCAACGTGCTTGTGTACTGGGAAAAGTGGTGCGGGCGGAGGGACGTGAACGACCGGTGCCGGTGGCCGAGAAAGTGGCACCGGTTGACCACACGCCGCTGGTCGTCGCTACTGCTCTTGAGCATGAACGTAATGGCTTTGATGATGACTTCGCTTCGCTTGGCAATGTCGGGAAAGACGTCTTCGAGGGTAAAGTCGCGCTGAAACAGGCGAAAGAAGAACTCGTCGTAAAACAACACGATGCCCGACTTGCCGTACTGCCGCATGCGGTCCGTGTTGGCAGTCACAATCAGCTTCCATGTCTTGGTGCAGTCGGTCAAGTACGCCTCGTTCAGGATCGGTCGTATCGGCAAGTTGGGAGGCAGGTAGTGCTGGACACAGTCGGAGGCGGCCAGCCCATACGTGAACTCCCGGTACAGCACCTCCTCGACCACGATCTTCTTCTCCTTGGACGATTTCCCGCCCATGTTGCGTTGCTTCTGGTGCGTGTGAACGTGTCTGGCAGTGGCAGTGTCGTTTCGCTTTTGCGATGGTCCAAGTGGCGACTGTTCGATTTTCACATGGCAATCTTCTATCAAAATTGCTCTAACGTTGTATTTAAACGACGGAAAAATATGACACGAAAAATGATAAAGGCCAAAGGTGGCGGCGAAGGCGACCCCGACTCTGAGCTACGCCATCTTCACCATGTACCTCAACTGGAAGGGGTACCATACCAACACAGGACCTCGAACGACCACCTAATGGTCACGAACACGCCGTCCACGGCCACCTTGTGCATCAAATATTGGACGATCTACATCCTCATGTTTAAGACAAGAAATACGATGTACATCGTCGATGGAAACACATTTTCACACCTGAAGGAAGTACAACAACCCCATTAGGGACGCAATCGAAATTCCTTTTAGACGTATAACATCCCGCTCATGCCCTACTACATGGTAAACAAAGACAACCTTCATCTATTCATTGTGCACTTCTCCGAAAACACCGCCCCAAACGAGTCCCAGAGGTCAGATAACTCAATGCACCGTCCACGGGTTGGCGCTGGAGAGTCCAAGATGGGCCCTCGACGCCATTCGTTGCTCCATTGCTCCAATGCATGTCGCCATTATACACGGGCACACACGTCTCGCAATGGCCAGCAGCGTGCCGACGTTTTTGCCGTTTATCATGATGTCGCTGGCGCCAAGAATCCGCGAGTGGCTCGTGGACAAGGAAGGCATTGAGAACGTCGGCCTCGCCGACGTTCTAGCAACGCATCAATGCGAACGAAATC